CAAATATACATCAACAGCATGTATTATACAGGGGGGGGGCCAAAAAAAGACATTTTGCCCATGTCGCACTTCGGCCTTTTTTCTTCGCAGAGATTGCCGTCGTTGACGGGAGTTCCTCAGCAAAGTATTCCCTAAATGTCCCTCTATAAGTAACGCAGGCCCTCCTTCACTGCCCTCACCGTCTTCAGAATATGACGTCATCTGTCACCGTCGTCAGGCTCAAGGAGGTCTACCGTAACTGCTTCAGCCTGAAGCTCTTACGCAATTTCGTGAATCGATTCAATGTTGGATAGTTTTCTAGAGGCATTAGCTCCACTATGCAAATCCCCTCGAAACTAGCTTTCCAGTAAGGGTCGTTATGGTACACGATCCTTCGAAGACCCCATTGAGCTCGACCAGTGCACCATGTTTCCAGGGCAAATTCTTCTGATGCCGTCCACGTAGGTGGCCACTATGAAGATTTTCTTATAGAATGGAATGCGCTCTTCAATAATAAGTTGGAACCGTTCGGTCTGAGTTGAGCAAAATGTGCTTAAATCCATCTGGAAGTGGAGACAAAATGTCTTTTTTTTTGGCCCCCCCTGTATAGTTTTGTGTTGGCCCCAATTTCATTGGTTCAGCGTTTCGGGTCAATTTGAGAGCGAAGAAAAGTTAGTGGAAAATAAATGCTTATTTGTTACCCGGACATGAACGAAAGCTACGTCTTTAGTGAGGCTGAAGACACAGCTTATTTTGGGTGACAGTTTGAGATACAAAGGGATAGTATAATGGTAAAGGGCAAAATAAACATCAACGTGATGAGGAGTGCGAAACGGTGGAACATTGAAGTAGACTGACTGTTCCACAAGTATGCTGGGTTGTGAACACAACTTTTCCCCCAGACGGGACTTGAACCCACATCTCTTGCTTTTCGCTTTCTCTTGTGAAACATTCGCATGGCAAACTGCGGCCATAACAGCAGTTAACAAACGGGAAACAAATAAGTAGACTGTTTTAATTCAAACACAGTTGGTTTGAAAGCTTTCTAGACGACATATTAGACGGTAGGTCGTTCCTTCAGTCAAAATCCCAGCAGCTTCGACAGCTCAAGGTTGTAATCACATTAGGGGTAACAATTGATGATAATCAGAGCAGTTTCTCGTTTCCTGCAAAACAGCTAACAGTTCGAACGAAGAGTGTGGAAAGGCTCATCCTCAGACGAGAGCGCAGATATGTATATAAAATGTGCACTTCACCAATTATCCAGAGTCTAGAGCTCCCACATTTTAAATAAGGATGTGAAAATTTTAATTCGAATGAACGTAGCGGATAGATTAATAGGCTTACACGGTCAAAATACAATTCGGAAGGGGAGGGGCACTCCTTGCTATCTTATCCTTTGTCCTAGGGAGTACTCATTTTCACACTAAAGATAAGATAATGTGTGGGCGACTTATTTGAGGTGCACTTTTGATTGACTGTGGGTGTCCTACATTCCACACATCCTGCCCACATCCAACCCAATTTTCTGCACCGGGTCATCTACCCTGAGCTTCGCTACTTAGGCGAGGCAAACATCTTCATTCCTGGACCGTTTCCTTGGGTCGCGTCATGAGCATGAGAAGGCTCTCATTCTTTAAGTCTTGGAGAACACAAGACCCCCCCCCTCCCTCAAACTGGATTTTATTCTCTTACACTAATCGCTCATCCATCGCTATCCCAAGTCCTGTGCACACGTTGTCCGAGGTTTTCTGGAATAACGCAATTATTCCACCACACCCCCCAGCGCTCTCCTTCCAATGTTACAAAATGACGTCATCGAAACCGTCCCACCTCTCGGCCACAGCTCCCACTGGTGCGTCCCACCTGGGATAATGTAAAATTAAGTCCTGATCTTTACCTTGCCCTTCGTTGCATGAACTCTTAAATCTGTCCTCAAATTTTTCCACAAATATTCATGCAACTTTCAGGTTGAATCGTCTGAAGTGGAAACAGTTCAGAGCGAACCTGATGCACTTGGACCGGCCGAAGCATCATCAGCGGCTGCTTTAGGCTTATTTGTCCCGATCCTCGCGATACTTGGGCGATAAGTAATGTGAATACTGTAGAGCTAATAATTGACAATAACTCAAATTAATACATTTTAATCGTCGTCATTCCGAAAAGATTTGATTTTTACTTTTCATGTGAGTGGCGATCATCATATTAAATTAATTGGTTCATTCCTGACTCTAATCAATAGATATGTCACAAGGGCTGAGCACCAATAGTTAGAGACAGAAAAAACCGCTCAGGGACTTTTGCATCAAATCAGCTAGCCCATCCCCTGTGACATAGTTATTGGAATGAGCCACTCGTAGTCGGAGCTTACACATTGTACGGATAATCACATATGCTACTGTCAAGTGAAAAGAATCTATAGCAGCTGTCGAAACCGATGACCCATTTTTGTATTCTAGTCTGCAGAAGGCATGAATTGACGTTGCTCCCGCCATAATAACTGCCCATTGTTTTCATTTCCATTTGTGATAGACGTTTTCTTCTTTTATTTCTTTGAGCTAAAGGCAGAGACCGCATTGATGATGATGTGGGCGGAGTTCTCGAGAGCGAACTCGTGCTTACTAATCTGCTGGGCGATGGCAGTATGTTTCGGGTGAGGATTGCTAGGACAGAAAGCAACATTTTTGCTTCGCAGCGCTAAACTTTTTCGCTGCGGGACCCCAGGTAAATTTATGATCAGGGGCGAACCTGGAGTTCCCGCAGCGAAGAGTAGCAAAAAGTCGTTTTTTGCCCGAGTCGCCCACACCCCTGCGCTCAGCAGTAAACCACGTATCATTCGCCCCCGAACACTCCGCTCCTGCAGCGAGCCCTGTTTTTAAAATGTCATGTCATAGTGAACTGATATGTTCATGAATTGTATACATACAATCATTGTGGTAGATACCCTCCTTACGATCAAAAATAACATGAAAAGACAAAGGTAGAGGCGCAGACACATCATCGTCAATAAGCCGTTGTGTTTGGACGAGTTCTATGTCCATTTGTTGGAGTATAGTGCAGATAATGTGAGGAAGAGGATTGGTAACTTTTTTCATTTAATTAGCTAATATAAGACTGTATTACTCGATATTTACGTTCTCCTGTATTTATGCTCAGAATGACCAGATAAACTCTTTGAACACTCATTCTGCTTCTCGTTTATTTGTAAAGCCTTCTATGCGAGAGGTTGTGTAGTAGATAAGGGAAGATGAGTTCCAATGTTAGCCATTCACTTGCTATGGATATTTTTCGTTTTCGCTTCGGTTGTGCTATAGAATATCGACTTTTTATGTTGCTGATATGCATAATTGGTTCGTTATATATAAAAATAAATCACTTACCCTTTTCAACTGTGGTATGTTATTGATAGAAATTGATAGATTCAATATCCCTTTCATTCCGAGTTTTTGTGAAGAAGTCTGACCATCAGGCTAGCTGTCGTCTTAAAGGCAAGAATCAGGATTAAATTGATGGGTGATTCCACTCAAATGTGAAAGTAGGGATGGGAGGTGGACCGCCAGTGGAGAAAAAAGGAAAGAAAATCCTGAAATACACAGGAAATAAGAGCATTTTGCTTTATGCTGAGCGCGAGAGTGGTAGAGAAGTCCGAGAAGAGAGAGCATAGCAGATCAACGTGGCGACGCAGACAAGATATCGAACGGTGGGCGGACCATGTTAAGTTTGGTGGAGTCTGTTAGAAGTCCATGGCGCCTAGGGTCCTAGTGACGCGTTTCGATGTAGAAAGGTGGCGCTACCTTTGCACTTGCGTACCAGCACTTCTAGCCATGGTAAGGGCTTCTTAGGTGGGTCTGAGCCCGAACTTTGCCTTTAAGGGTATTTTTTGACTCAGTGAGATTGGCCTGCCCTTATCTGACGGTGTGTAGCGGTGTGTATTTATGTGCATACGACGCATGATTCGGCTATACGTATAAATTGCAATGTATAAGTGTATGAAACAGGGTCGAATTTGGTAGAGTATGGTCCAGCTTGGACTATCGCTTCCAACACTCTCTTCCCGGGTTTCAGCCTCAACCATCGTGATCTGGGACCACGACACTCCATGGTGATCGTGGACCGAAATTTTTTCGATTACGTCCCTGGTTCGATCGTTGTCGGAGTT